CTGTAATCTCGCTTTCAGAAGCAAGGGGGGGGCGTAGCTATGTGATCAGTTCAGGATACGCTGTCCTCTGGGGGACGGGAGGAGGACAATCTGCTTCTTATATATAAAAGCACAAACTCTCCCAGAAACTTTGGTTTATTAGTCAAAAGGTTCTCGTAGCAGAATGTTTGTTGTCCGATGGATGGACTTCAGATTCTCTTCAACCGATCACACAACCTTCGACCTTTAACAAACATTCAACTTTGCTTGATTTTTTTTTTAATTCACTCATTTTAATGAGATTCTTTCTAAAAATGGTTGAAAAATTCATTTTGCCTGATGAAGCCGAGCGGAGATCAGCTGAGCCTTTGTTTCCTTCAGCTCTTTGATCCATTTGTGTGCAACAATCAGGCTTTTAAAAGAACAAATATGGAATGAAACAGAATACTTTTGTGAATAAGTACATCTTTGTATTTTCAATAACTGTTGACTTTTAAACTCTGAAGTTATTAGAAATCTTTGGATCAGAGAAACTAATCAAATAGAATCTAATTAGACAAAAAATATAATACCCATAATAATTAATCTGAGTAATTTGAGGCCGTACATGGAGAACGCCCCCCCCCCCCCATCCTGTATTTATAAATGTCCAACACTCACCTTCACCAGGAGAGCACGCCGCCGCTACATCACGCCACACACGAGCCGTCAGACCTTTGACCCCAGTGTGACCACTGCACATGAGACGCAACCAACGAATTCTGTCAAGATTAAAGTCGTTTTTTTCTGTATGAATACGTATCGACCGCAGGAGCAAAAAAAGCATCTAATTAAGACTCACATCGCCCACACGTAACACAAAGGACTAACACACTGGAGGTGCAAAGGAGAAGCCACACCGACGCCACTGTGGGTTTACAGATGCGGACCGGGGAACATCTGCAGAGCGTCCGAGGCGAGAAGCAAAGTGAAAGGTAATAATCTGCTCGCGTCACTGAGGCTCCGTCACACACAAACGTGCAAACGGATTTCACAGCCAAGTATTCGTGTCATGTGCGATTCTGCCGCATTAATGCGCACTTGTGTTTCACACGTCTGTGGGTACAGGCCTTCAAAAAAAAAGACGGAATAAAGTGTGTGTGTGTGTGTGTGTGTGTGTGCAGATATAAATCATTTCAGCACAGCTGCAGTGTGCCGCTCTATCAAGCTCCAGATAAGCCTTCTCAAATCTCCCTCCGACCATCATGTGGCCTCGCAGCGCTCACGTGTGTGTGTGTGTGTGTGTGTGTGTGTGCGGCAGCATGCGTTTGCCCCGGTGTTTAAGAGAATGTGCGAGTGAAAAGAATGCTTGGGAGCAAATGCGGGTTTGCGAGGACGCGTTGGTGTGAGATTACGGGCGTAACTAGAGGCGACTAATCCCCGCAGGATGAGGAGGAAGCGTCTCTCTCGCTCCCCCAGCTGCTGGTGGACGACAGCGCAGACCGAGTAGGAAATAAACCACGGCAAGTCACAACTTTGGGACTTCGCGTTCGCGCTTTTTGGCCTTTCACAAGGTTCAACGGTTCAACCGGAACCAGCTTCTGGTTAACAGTTTAGCGGGACGCCTTTAATTGGTTTAAGGGTTTTAATTGGAGGTGAAACAAAGTAAACCTGAGCCCCTAAAACCAGACACAGTGAAGGAGGAGAGAGAAGAAGAAGACGTGTGTGTGTGTGTGTGTGTGTGTGTGTGTGTGTGTGTGTGTGAGGCCACGGAGGCAGATGGAGTTTGCATTTAGGCTCCTGTAGACGGACCCGTCACATTTCATCCTTCACGACTGCTGAGTGACCCGTTGGTGCAAATCCCCAGCACGCCACTCACTGCATGCACGGACGCCAACACACGCGCAGACCGGAGACCCCCACGACCCCCCCCTCCCCCCCCCCCCGCTGCTGCTCCTCCGTCAAACCGCGTCACTACAGACGGTGGCGCTATGCTAACTCGTTGGTTTTAGAAACTCATGTTTGTCCTTCCAGAGGTCGCCGCCGGGGTCAGAGCTGGACGATGACGTGCATTAAAATGAAGACGTTGTGATGATTAAAGACGTGGATCTCACGGATTAAAAGGGCAGATTACGAAACGTCTTCGAGGGAGCCAACGCTCTTCTGCACGTTGGCTTTTTAAAAATCGCTTTTCTCCTGGCGAATGTTTTCCTTCTTCACTTGTTCGTCCAGCTCAGGAACTCAGTAAGAGCAGCGCTGCAGCATGAATCAGTCAACGACGTCTGGTGTGCAGAACACGCACACGCACGCACACACACGCACGCACACACATGTGCTTCTGGTTGACGCGCTCTCGGGGGGAGAGCGAGTGTTTTCTGGACCAAGGCCTTTTGCACGCGTGATGTAGCTCAATGAGGACACATTAGCCGTTAGCTTCCCAGCAGAGAGTCCCTAATGAGCAGCGCGGCGCTCAGCACCTCTCACACACACACACACACCACTACTACGTGTGCACAACCCCAACACACATTTAGGAATGCATGCAACAAAACGCACATGTACAAAAACACACACACACACGCGCTGCTGCTGCGTTACTCCGGGGGGATTTTGTGAGGCAGAAAGTGGAAACATGCTAGCAGCAGGGAAACGGGTCACTGTGGAGGAGAAAAACCTCAGGAGCCGATGCGCCGCTTCGCAGGAGAAAGAACAGGTTTTTATTCGATTTGATCTCGAAGGTGAACGTGAGTTTTGTGAAGAGTTGCATCAATTCTGATTGGCTTTCAAAATAAGATTGAAATAAGAAAGAATCTTCAACATCTACGCAGCACAATATCAGATGTTGTGATTTCTGATTTATATAAAACAAAATACTAGATCCAACATTTCCCATGAGGCATCTTTCATTTCTACCCAAATTCTGACAATACATGATTTAATAACTGTTTTGCTTTCTACAAGTTACATGCAACATATTTTATTTTAATGTATTAATTGTTTTTATATTTGATATTTATTACATTTTTCAGTGAGTTTTCTGTTAAAAAAGAAAAACTCATGATTTAACTTATAAACAGGGAGACATTAAACATGTGGAATTAAATAATAGTTAAATGTGGAAAATTCATCTAGATCAGCAAAATACAAAATAATGTTTCATAGAACATTCCAAGAAGACGGTGGACACACACACACACACACACACACACACACACACACACACACACGCACACACACACACACACACACACACACACACACGCACACACACTAACATCTCTAGAAAGTTTATCATTACAGAACAGAATATTTTCTAAGTATTACCTTAGTAATTGATTTAATTGTTAGTCTCAATATTTTAAAGTCTAAATATTATTTGATGTCATTTTCATTATTAAAAAACAATGATCGGTTACAGATTTCAGGGATTGATCAGTGGTTTAAATGTGTTAACATTTAATAAAATAAAAATAATAAGAGAAGATAAAATCAATCATCAATCATCAAGTAATCTGATGTCAGATGTCGTTAAAACATTTAAGACTGTTATTATTGATGATTTTATATACTTTGTCAATGTTTTTAAAATACACCCAAAATTACACCAAAAAATTTTTATAAAAAAAAATGCTTTGAATAAAGTTGCATTTCTAAACCTCCTTTTCCTCATTTGCATTGACGTGGACCACCACTGGGGGGGGGGGGGGGGGGTTCTGAAGGGGCACACAGCTCCCAGTGGATGGTCCCAAGCGGGTGCCCTGGTGAGGGCTTTCCCCCTCTGCTGGGAATAGCAACCTCCGCTAATTAAACACAGGGATTTTATTTGAGCCGGAGGAGCCCTGAGACTCGCTCCCAAATGTCCCTTGGGGGGGGGGGAGAGAATTGTGTTTTTTGGGAAGGGGGGGCCGCCAAAAGACACAAAAAATATGGAAGAAATTTCGGTTTTGTCGAAAGGCATTTGGGGGGGGGGGGGTC